TCCATCCATCCATCCATCTATCTATCTAGTTATCTATCTCGTCTCCCATTCTCTTTCCCTTTGTGTCTTTCGTCTCATCTCCCATCTCTCGTGCTTTCATCCTCTCCTCTCTCTTTCCTCGTTCTTATTCCCTTTATCATCCCTCTTCTGTCGCAGCACGCGCGTCTCTCTTCGCTCCTCACTATGTGCCTCTCTCCGCTCTCTCGTCTACGTACGCGGAGGTACACTCGGTTTGTTGGCGCAACGATAAGCACACTCAAGTACACTTAATTAAGTAGTGAGTATCTGGTTAGCTTCTATATACTTCGAAATAATAGGTGGGCCAGGGAAACATACACGCGCTTTTGTATGCTCTCCCCTGGAAACAATATTAAATCGATATTGTCCCTGATTACAGAGTTTGTGCAGTTGCGTTTTTATGTTATTCATTTTGAAGCCTACCGACTAGGTTATTGTAAGCGCATCAGGGCAGCCTTTACAAAGATTGATTAGTAACCGGCTTCGATATAAATTATATCTCGCTCATCTGCATAACTGCCGTCGAACTCCCGGCGTGTATGCCTGCATGCTAGCCCGCCCTGGGCGCGCTCAGAATCCGTATTGTCAAGCGATTTTTCACCACCGTTGTCTCGCGTAAAAATACCGTGTTCTGCGTGCAGTGCCTGCATAATGCCCCGAGTAATTAGTGTTTATCGGGTGTGTAAATTAATAATTAGTTTCGGTTTTGTAATGCGGTGACGACAGTCTGGGGGATCAAAATGATGTTGTCAGGAAAATAACGAACCTATTAGCCAATTTTCGAGCGTTTTTCTAGATAGCTGAGACTGAGCTTACGTCACCGGCGCTTACTAGATTGTGGTACGAAAAGCGATTTCGTGCGTTACTGTCGAAGTGAATATTAACAAGCACTTGACGCGATCGAGGGTATCGTTAGATCTTCCACATATACCGTATCTGCTGCTATTCGCATTCCCGACTACCCTGGACGTGCATGGAAATATACCTAACAACGTTTCTCACGTGACTGCTAATTTAAATTAACAACGCGAATGAGTGAACTGAGTACGCGTCTGTGTGTACGCGCTTATCCAAAGCCGCTGCCGCTGCCAACTATAGCACGCTATACGTGTACACGCGCCATGCCATGTTGCATGATCGCATGTATTTACAAACGAGTTTAGAAATCGAAACAACACCGTCATAATCCTGATCATCCTCCTCCCCGTCTTTCGGTCCCTCTCACGTTCACTCTCTTTCCCGGGTGTGTCGCATGTCGCTCTTTCTGCCTCCTTCTCTTCCCGTCTCGTTTTTTCCTGCTTTGATTTTTGTTTTTCTTTGTTTTTGTCTTTCTCTCTCGCGAGCGATCTCCTGCGCTCTCTTTCCCTCCTGGTTTACATCCCACTCCATTCGCCATATATCTCTCGCCTCTCGCTACGCCTGCGGCCCCCTATCTCTCTCTCTCTCTCTCTCTTTCTTCCTGTCTCGCTCTGTCTGTCTCTTCCTTTCTCTGTCTGTCTGTCATTAAATATCGCGTTTTCTTTTCTTCTCTCTCACACTCTTTCAGCTCTCTTCCTTTCGACGCGCCTCCTTGTCTCGTACGCTTGTTTGACTGTGCCTTTTATATGAAACAAAGTTGTCGGTTATATATCACCTAGTACTCAAACATGCGTTAATATAATGTTTTTCAACGACGTGGCATCAAACGTTCATCAGTTTCTGCCATTTTCGTCCGAGTACACAATCGGAAGTCTTTTTCCTTGCAGACATGAAAGCTAACTCTTTCGAATAGCCAACCTTTCAAGCTACGCCTCCGCGTTCACGTATATGTGCTTTAAATACGGATAAATGCGCTCGCCATGAAGTAGATTGCTCATTTTTCGCCATTTACGAGACCCTATGTAGAACATTACTGGTCGTGCTGCAGCAGCTAGGCGGCTAAAAGCGAAACAAGAGCGGTGCGTGGTAGCGCGGCCATACGCGCGTCTGCAAGCAGCTTCGCCACGCGCTATAATTCCTGCTGGTGGGTGTGACTTTTTTGCAGGTCTACTTCAAGCCACCACGCTCGGCCTCTTTCACATCAAGCTCGCCATTATATCGCGGCAGAGACGAGAGGTCCTGCGTGTAAACCGTCCCACGTGGGATCCAGTGCGCATCATACTCGAAGAGGAGCGAACCGTCGGGTACGTGTGGTCTGCTGTATTCTGTAAGCCATCCAGCTCGGTTTAACACTCGGTCTCTCTCTCTCTCTCCCACCCGCCATCTCTCTCTCCCACCCGCCATCTCTCTTTCCCTCATATCTTTCCTCCTCCCCGCTATATCTATCTATCTACCTATCTATCTATTTATCTATCTATCTATCTATCTACCTATCTATCTATCTATCTATCTATCTATTTATCTCTCTATATATATATATCCATCTATCTATCTATCTATTTATATATATATAAATAAATAAATAAATATATATATATATATATATATATATCTACTATCTATCTATCTATTCAAGAGAGCGAACATTGACTTAGATTAGTTAACTAACTAAGCAATGCACATCAGTACACAGAGAAAGCGAGAAGGAGCGAGATAGAGAGAGAGAGAGGGAGAGAGAGAGAGAGAGAGAGAGAGAGAGAGAGAGAGAGAGAGA